GCCACGCCGCTCGACGTCGAGGCTGAGCCATCGACGCCTCCAACGCCAGCAACGCCTCCACAAACGCCACGGCCCAAGCCGCCTGTGCTGCCACCTCAACCGCCAGGCCCACCGCTGCCATCGCCGCCGCCGTGTCGTGACAACTGCAAGAGCAACACCTACGGCTGGGATCGCAAGTGCTATTGGCAGCGGAGTTGCGCAGGCTGCGACGCGTGCTACAACACCCCTCCTCCCGCGCCCGCGACCTGCCACATGTGTGATAACAAGCTCTCGCCGTTCATGGTCCGCAACGGCATGGCCTGCGAAGCCTTCAACGGGCTGCGAGGGTGCACCACTGAGTGGTGGCAAAGGCCGTGGAATCGATTTTGCCGGCTGACGTGTTTCGAGGCCGGCCATGGCTACATCGGCGATCACTGCTGTACGAACTTGACCTCTGCGGGCCCTGCGCCCACAGGAACAATACCCATATAGATCGATATAGTCCCCAATGCTGTGCAAACAATGGATGGGGCCTAAACTGAATCCAGCGTGCGTCTCGACGACGTCGACGCACCGGGCACCGCACAGTGTGTGTGTTTGGGGTGGTTTTGTGTGCGCCGTGCGACTGTGTTGACTGGTGTGTGGTGTGTACCACCTTCGTATGTGTGTTTTTATCCCCGGGCTTAGGCCATGTATACCCTTACGCCTAGCCTCTGCTGTGTGTGTGTGTGTATGTGTGTTCTGTCTATTCTGACTTCTGTGACTGTGTGTGTGATTAAATACGGCTTCGCTCTATACAGATTACAGTAAAGAGAATTTTAGATTTTACACGAACAAAACTCCCTCGCACGACACCAAGATTCTTTATCCTTCAGCTACACGAATTGAAGGCGAAATTTTTCAGGTGATTCTCTCTCTTTTGTTACAACGATTCGTTTGGAGACCAACTGCTGATAAACTGACACTCGCGGCCGCTCTCTCCTGTTCACTTGTATGTGGAGACTCTCACGACTCACCGCCTCCCCCCTTCAGCACACTCCCCTGGCGCTCGCACCCTCTCGGCCGCGGCGACCTGTTCCGCGGACGGCACCTTGAGATCCCACACGAGGCCGAGCGTCTCGAGCGCGCGCAGCGCGGCGTAGGTGGCGTCGAGCTCGTGCGCGGCCAGCCCCTGCCGCGCGCTCCACCGGAAGGCGTGGTGGTTGTTGTGCCTGGCGAGTGCGGAGGCGGCGGTGGGAGGGAGGGGGAGGGAAGGGCGACGGGAGGGCAAAAAAAGGGGGGGGGGGGGGGGGGCGCCATCCGTCGCCGAGAGTCAGCATCGCGACCCACCACACGTTGGTGGAGGTGTCCGCGCCGCCCGTCTCGAAGCGGCGGGTGCCGCCTCCGAGGTCGCCGTGGCAGAGCGATCCGATCGCGAAGATGCTGTTCCAGCAGCACGTGACCGGCACGACGAAACCCCACAGCAGCGCGCCGCCGCCTCCGTACGCGTACAGCGACGCCGCCAGCAGCAGGCCGGGCGCAAAGTGGAGCTTGTCGAGGGCGGCGAGCTCGGGGAACGAGCGCCAGGTCCGCGCAAACTTGTCGAGGGGCGGGTCGTGCTCCGCCGACGCCCAGTACCAGCCCATGTGCGACCAGAGCCACGAGCCGGTGACGGGCGAGTGCGGGTCCCTGCCGGTGTCCGAGTGCAGGTGGTGGTGGTTGTGGTGCGAGCTCCACCAGATGGGCCCGCGCTGCCACGCGAGCGAGCCGAGCAGGGCGATGGCGAACTGGAAGGGGCGGCTCGTCCGGTACGAGCGGTGCGAAAAGTAGCGGTGGTGCCCGCCCGTGATGCCAAACGTGAGGAGCGCATACATGCCGGCGCCGCCCGCGACGTGCGCCGCGCTCGGAGGCGCCACCAGCAGCGAGCCCGCCGCGTAGAGCGTCGCGGCGTGGAAGGAGAGGAGGACGGGCGGCAGCGTAGACTTGACGGGGAACGGGGGCGAGCCGGCGCGGTAGGCGCAGGCGACGACGAAGCGCTTCAGGTCCATGAACCGGTCCTCTGTCGCCGGCCGCTCCACCGATCCAATCGGCCGAAGGAGCCACTCGAAGGGAACGCCCGCCGCGCCGCCGCTCGCGACTACGCCGCCGCCGTCAAGAGAGAATCTCTGAGCTTCCGCTCGGAGGCTGCTGCTGCGGCTGCTGCTGCTGCTGCTGCTGCTGCGGCTGCCCCCGTGGCCGCCGTCAGAGTGCTTGGGCGGCGGCGGGTGCGACAGCGCTTGGCTGTGCGTCGAGATGCGCAAGGCCGTCCTCCTCCACAGGCGTCCGCACGCCTGGTGTAGAGGTCCTACGCGCGGGCAAAGGCTGGCCATTCTTGTCGCTCGGCGACGGCAGGGTTCGGACTTTTTGCGGGGTATGGGACACGGCCTCTTCACCTTTCTTCATGAACGTCCAACTGCCGCACGGAAAGGGTGTCGAGCGTTCAAGATCAAGTCCCCAACGGCAAGGTCGCAAGGAAGGGTGGGAGGGAGGGAGGACCAAGCGAGCACCTACCTAGACCCACCTACCTACTGACAGCCAGCGCGCAGCGGCGTGGAGGTAGGAGAGACCAAGCACCCACAAAAATCGTGATTTTTTCCGCGGTATCCGCGGCGGGATATGGCGGGATATGGCGGGATACCGGGAGATACCGGGAGATACCAGGAGATACACGTGGATATGATGAGATACGGAGCCCCCACGATGTGTTCACGACAACGTCCGTCAGCTAATCGGACGCGACGGGCGAAACTTTTCGCGCTTCGACCGGCCGTGATCTGCCGTGCGGCTAAGCGCTCGATTCCCATGATTGGCGAGAGCTCGTCATCATCGATGAAGGACAGCCTTGATCGCCGACCAGGAGGATGGTCACCTGCAGCCGGCGGCCTCAGTCGGTCGGGGGGGAGCGGGGGGCCAGGCTGGGCCGCTCGCGGGCGCACAGGAATCCGGCGCTCGCGACCTCGCGAGGGAGGCGCTCGATGCTCGCGCTCTGCGGCCGGAGCGCGGAGAGGCCGGGCTGCTCGGCGTGAGGCGGGCAGGATATGGCGGGATATGGCGGGATATGGCGGGATATGGCGGGATATGGCGGGATATGGTCAGATATGGTCAGATATGGTCAGATATGGAGAGATACATCAAGATATACCGCAAAAAAATCGTCCGCACTAGGGCTACAAAATGCGGCCTGGAGAGACCAACCGAAAGCGAGAGCGCGTCAAAACCGCAAATTGACGGAGCGGCGGGAACACAAAAAAAGGAACAAAGACTCTCTGGGGCCGCCTAGGCCAGCATCCGCGACGCCGACTTCGACACGAAGCCTCGGCAGCCAGGGCAGGCCGTGTTGATCGGATCCATGCCGTGGCTCGTCTCGACCTCGCTGTCGTCGTTGAGCCAAGTGTGCAGGCAGCGGTAGTGGAAGAGGCTCTTGCAGCAGCGCGTGGCGCCCCAGCCGTTCGGGTCGCGCGGCTGCAGGCGCGACTCGGGGTGCGAGCTCAGGTCATCCAAGCATATGGCGCACTCTCGGCGCTCCTCGGTTGCTGCCGAAGCTGCCGCCACCCTTGCTGCGGCAGCCGCCTCCGCCTCCGCCTCCGACTCCTCCTCATCGCTCTCCACCTCCACCTCCACCTCCACCTCGTCGTCGCATGGCGGAGCAGCACACGCCGCCGCCGCCGCCGCCGCCGCCGCCGCAGCCTCCGCTCTGGCCGCCTGTTCTGCTGTGCGCGCCTGCCACCTCGCCCTCTGCTCGCTCGCGGAAGGCGGCGGGTCGGAGAGCAGCGAGAGAGCCACGGCATCAGCAGTGTCCGCCGGGTCGAAGCCGTCCTCCTCCTCCTCGACGCTGCTGGCCTCAGAAGGCCCTGCTGCGCCTTGCGGCGGTGCTTGCTGTGGCTGCGGCACGAGCAGGCGGACGGTTGTGTCCCACAGGTGCCGGGCACGCGCCAGCGCGGCCTCCTCGGCGGTGGCGAAGTAGCCGAGGGCGAGACTCTTGCCGCCAACCGTCACCTGCAGCTTGTACTTCTTGCTGCCTTGCCGCTTCGGGCAGAAGGTCACGCCTTTGTAGCCGCTGTTGCTGCTGCTACTGGTGACAAGGGTGCGGCCCTCCCTCCCCGCTTGCCGGACTGCCTCGGCGCCAGCGGCAGAGGAAGGCACGGGTGGCGGCGGCGGCGGCGGCGGCGGCGCGGTGAGATCGCTGGTGTCCCTTCCCTCCTCCCTGCGGGCTCGGAAGAGCGCCGCTTGCTCGGCGGTGGCGAAGAGGCCGAGGCTGACTTGCTTGCCTCCAACCCACACGTGCAGCTTGTACTTCTTGCTGCCTTTCCGTTTCGGGCAGAAGGTCACGCCTTTGTAGCCGCTGTTGCTGCTGCTACTAGTGACAAGGGTGAGGCCCTCCCTCCCCGCCTGCCGGACTGCCTCGGCGCCAGCGGCAGAGGAAGGCGCGGGTGGTGGCGGCGGCGGTGGCGGCGGCGGTGGCGGTGCGGTGAGATCGCTGGTGTCCCTGCCCGCCTCCCTGCGGGCGTAGAAGAGCGCCGCCTGCTCGGCGGTGGCGAAGAGGCCGAGGGTGACCATCTTGCCTCCAACCCACACGTTCAGCTTGTACTTCTTGCTGCCTTTCCGTTTCGGGCAGAAGGTCACGCCTTTGTAGCCGCTGTTGCTGCTGCTCGTAGCCAGAGTCAGGCCCTCCCTCTCCGCCTGCCGTATCGCCTCGGCGCCAGCGGCAGAAGGAGCCGGGCGGGGCTGCAGCATCTTGGCGGCGTCGGCGCGGCCGTACTCTGAGCGAGCGTAGGCGATGGCCGCCTCTTCGGAGGTGTCGAAGGAGCCGAGGAACACACTCTTGCCGCCATCCTTGAACCTGGCCTGGAACTTCTTTTTGCTGCGGTTGAAGCTCACGTTCTTGTAGCCAGTCGTGTTCCTCTTGGTGATGGCTGGGATCAGCACAACGCCCTCTGAGTCTGACGACGCGGTCCGCAGCGGGGCCATCATGCAGCGGACGCACTTTTTCGCGAGTTTGATTCGATTTGGATTATCACGAGGCTGGTTTTCTTGATTTATGGCTGGGATCAACACACAAGGCGCTCAGTCGCTGTGGCCCGCGACGAGTTCGCGCGAGCGGACGGCATCGCTGACGGAACAAGTATTACAACCACGGGGTCATAAAAACGGGGAAATTATTATTTTTTATTCCCTGTGTGCTTCGGGCAGTAGCAGACGCCTTTGTAGCCGGTGCTGCTGCTGCTGCTGGCGGTGAGGGTGAGGCCCTCCCTCTCAGCCTGCCGTATCGCCTCGGCGCCATCGGCAGTGGGAGCAGCGCGGGGGGGGCGGGGGAGTATATGGGATGGGCATACCAACTTCGGGGGCCGGGGGAATATCGTGCGGGATGGGCATACCAACTTCCGCACCCGCCGGAGGCTACCCGCTACCGTCCATACCCCCCCCAAAGTTCGAACGACGAACCCAGGGAGACCCGCGTGCAAGCATTCAGTGAAAGAAAACTAGCACCCTTTTCTAAATATACAGCGCGGCGTCCACGTCGAGCTCGCGGTGCCTGCCCGCGCGAACCGACACGTACGATGGGGCGAGTGGCCCCGCGACCACCTCGCCACCCACTGCTACCGCCTCCGCGAACTGCACCACGTCGGCCCCCTGCCGCATTCGCTGCTTGGCCGCCTTTTTCCGGACCAGCAGGCACACCGCCAAAACAACGAGGATGCAGCAGACAGCTGCGATCGAAACGCCAATGGCGATCGCAATCACA